GTCTAAAGTTGCTGGTGCCTCTCTTAGTCACGCTCTATCACTTCCTCCTGTTTACTTTCCTTCACTGTAGTTATCACAGTCTGAATCGTCTGACTTAGTTATTTGCTTGTTTATTAACTGTGTCTCCCAGCAGACTATAAGTCCATGAGCACAGACAATGTCTGTTTTATTCCCACTCTAGCTCTAGAGTCGGGAGTAGCACTTGGCACATAGTAGGTGCTCATTAATTATTGGTTGAGAAAATGGCATTTCCAGCCTGGGAAAATCTTTGCCTTCTTTTAAATTAATCTAGGGTTTCTCAACCTGGCCACTGTCGACATTTGGGGCTGGAGATTTCTTTATTGCTGGGGGCTGTCCTGAGCCTTGTGTGATGTTTAGCTGTGTCCCTGGCCTCTACCCACTAGGTGCCAGCGAGGAGACCGGTAGACTGCTCTCCCCTGGGGTTGTGACAATCAAAAACATCTCCAGACATTGTAACATATGCCCTGGGCTAAATAAACAAATAAAGAAACATAATAACATCAAAATATCTGTCTGGCTCATGTTTGTGAGGAAATGGCTTTCCAGCTAACTGGAAGATTGGCCCCAGGTTTCTTTCCAGAGACCCATCTACGTTCCGCAGGGGTTTCCTTGGGCAGAGTCGCTGTGGGTAGGAGATGGTGGCAGATTAGTAATCAGGAGTAGGAGAGGAGATCAAGGGAAGAGTAATTGCCTCTTAATAAACTTGCTAAAAATTTTGTAGAGAAGATTAAGTGTCCACCGGTAGCTAAGTCTGGCCTAGAAAAGGAAAGCAAAGAAGAGGGACCAGGCCTACCAGGTACTAAAGCACATCACAAAGTCACACTAATAAAAAACAGGACATGAGCACAAGTACAAACAGACCAATGGAGCAGAGTGGGGAGTGCAGGGGAACTTCACGTGACAAAGGTGACCTGCCGATTAAGATCAGTAGGAGAAAGAAGTTATTTCCTGGATGGTTTTCAGAAAACTAAACAACTACAGGGAAAAAAATGAAGTTGGATTTCTACCAAATAACACACACACACACACAATTGCTTAAAGACCTAAAGTAGAAGATAAAAATGTAAAATAAGCAAACAAAAATGTTTGCATCATAGGGGCAGGGGAGGACCCAAACAAAACTTTACAAGCAGAAATCATACAGCCAAAAATAAATTATTTTAATCACATTAAAAGAATTTCTGCTTAACCAAGGACACCACAGACAAAGTTAATTGACAGGTGACAGAATGGAAGCAGATATTCACGATGTCTAAAATCCACAAGGGACTTAAAATCTACATTATGCAAAGGAGTCCATCAAGTCATCAAGAAAAAAACAAGAGCCCCGGTAGAAAAACGGGCCATTTATACAGGCAATTTACACACGAGGGGAACAACAAGCGTATGAAGAGATCTCAGACTCATTAGCAATCAAAGAATTGCAAGTGTAAATACGCTGAGATGTTACTTTGCATGCGGTAGACTGTCAAAGCTGAGCTATCTGGATGATGCCAAATGTCAGCAGGGATGTGGGGCCGCAGGAGCGAGATGCAGCCCGGAGCAGACATTTGTAGGGAGATCTGGGTATACGGAGTTGAATTAAGTACGTACACACCCAATGACATACCAATTCCAATCCTGTAGGAAATGTTTTTTAGAAAATCATCACACTGGCCCATAAGCAGACATGTAGGAGGATGCTCATGTGTGCATTCATTGCAGTGGTGGGAGCTGGAGGTCATCTGGATGACCGTGTCGAGGGAGGACACAGCATCATAGACAGCTGTGCAGCTCTTAGGAGCAGTGGGCTGGTGGACCCACAGCAACACGGAGGGGTCTTGGGGAAAAATAAGTAGAATGCAATCTATAATACAAACCCTTAAGTTTTAAAATGCACACCAAACACAGTTTTATGAATTCATGCAAACAAAACAATGTACAGTCAGCCCATGACGGTTGTTTCCTATGGGCTGGAGAGGGTGGTGGGAGGGGAATGGGCATAAAGGGAATGAAGAAATGAATAAAAACAAGCGTCAGGTTTTCCGTCCTGTTCCTTGCAAGAGAGGCGTGTAACTCTGCGAGGACAGGGACCGTATCAGTTATTTACTTTCAATTCCCACCACTGACATCCACGCTAGGCACATAGGAGATGCTCAGTAAACATGTGAAATGATCCCATAGATCAATAAATGAATTAATGGATTAAGGGCTTTGCAGAGAGGCTGCTCTAGTATTTAGATAGCCCATTGATTTTGGAGTCAAACAAAGAGATTTCTATCCTGCTTCTGCCGGCCACTTGCCAGCAAGACTTTGGGCAAGATTCCGTCTCTCTGAGCTTCAGTTTCTACATCTGTAAATAACCTCATCTGTTATGAACCCTCAGAGAACTATTTGTAGTAGGTGCACAGCAAACATTCGTCCCCACTCTTTGGCTAAGTGGAATAGAAAAGAAAGGCGTGTCTGAGCATCCTTTTAGCTGTACCTGGATGGCTGTGTTCTGCAGTAATGCCTGGAAATGTTACCATTATAGAGTCAATTTTTTCTTTTTGTCAGTAAGGCTTTATTGTTTTTGGCAGCCTCCTGCAGGAATGCCCAGACCTCTGGGGGGAGGTTGCCTATAGCAGCTTAAGCTTAAGAGAGGGCCAGATGAGAACCATTTCTGACCCTAGGAACGCAAATCTGAAGCAGGAGGGAATCTGACTGGCCTGTGTCTCACACCCCCCATCCAAACCATCAGAAAATCCTGATGGCATTACCTTTGAAATATATTCTCTCTGCCCCCTTCTCCCCACCTCCACGACCGCTACCCATAACCAAGCAGCCATCATCTCTCACCTGGACAGCTACAACGGCCTTCTCGCTGCTCTTCCTGCTCCCACCCATCCTCTAACTGTCCTCCAGGGTGATGCCAGTCTAACCTAAGTCACTCTCTGCTCAATGGCTCCCATCTACCTCACTCAGACTAAAAGCCAAAGTCCTTGCTATGGCCCATAGGAACCCACATTAACCAACCCCGCCCCATGGTCCCTCCTGCCTCCTCTGTTCCAGGTGCTCTGGTTGTCTTGCCATTCCTTAAACAAAGCTCATACCCCTCTCCTCCCCAGGGCATTTGCACACGCTATTCCCTCTGCCTGGAATGCCCGTCCCTCATTTTCTCTATGGCTGGTCCTTTGTTATTTCTCCAGTCTCTATTCGCCACCGCTGAGAGGCCCTCCCTGACCACCCTGCGTATAGCTAGCAGCCTGGTCTCTTCCCAAAAATGATGCTCCATTTCTTTTATAACATTTGCCATAGTCAGAAACTTTCTCATTTTTAAAAGTTTGTTTTTTTAGTTGCCTGTCTTCCTCCACTGGTCTACAAGCTGAGAGAGGAGGGCGGGGCTGAATTACGGCACCGGGTTAGAAGTTTAGGTTTTAGTCTAAAGCAAGGAGAAGTCCTGGGAGGGTTTTAAACAGATGAGAGACACGATCCAATGTAGGAAATGTAACCGTTGTCCTGGTGGCTGTGGGGAGAATGAACAGTAGGAGGCAAGGGTGGCAGCAGGGGGACCAGGGAGGAGGTTGCAGTGAGACAAGATGATAGTACCTTGGACAAGGATCACCATGAAGCAGGTGTTGAAAAGGGGACAGGTTAAAAATATGGAATAGTATTTTGTGCAACTCTATGGAAACGGATCCCTTAATTTTAGACATGAAGAGAAGGGCCAGAGAGGGGAAGGCCTGCCCGTGGAGCCCTGTGTCCTGTTCAGTTTTTCTCCTGCGGGCGGGGGGCTCATTGCTGTATCCCCAGCACCTATTTGCTTACGATGCAGTAAATAAGTATTTGAAAGAATAAGTGAGTAAATGTAGGGCCCAACGGTGGCATCCTTGGGGAAGCCTTGCCCGCCTCTCTGGGTAAATCCTCCAGTTCCATATTCATTTCTGGGATTATCTGGTGGATTTCGCCTCCTGCTCTGGACAGGGCCCTCCAGGGGAGGACTTTCCTCCACTGAGCCTGGCACTTGGGGGGCACATAGGAAGCTGTCGATAACCGGCTGGCCAACTTAACATGAATGAATGAACGAATCGCCGGACTGTATAACTAGCTCACTCCTCGCTCTCTCTTCCCCTTACCTCGCTTTGTTTTTCTTCTTGGCGGCTATAACCCCCTGCCACACTGCGTATTTATTTGTTGATGTGTGCGTTGCCCGCCTTCCCCCACTAGGCTGTAGAATTCCACCCTAGAATCTAGAATGGAAGCTCGTGAAAACAAGGGCCGTTCAACATCGCAACCTGCCCTCCCCCAGCGCTCTAACCCTCTCCTCTGCTTCACTATTTCCTCCAGCGCTTATCACCCCTGACATACTCTTTCACTTTTTTGTTTATAGTCTGTCTCCCATCAGCTCCGCGCGGGCCGGATGTCTGCGCTGGGTTCACAGCTGCCTCTCGGATCCCCGTGTGCGAACCTGCGCACGGCGGGCGCTCAGCCCACGCTGTTGACCGGATGAGCAGGGCGGGGGCGCGACGCAGGCCGTGGAGGTGCCCAGGTGGGCAGGGACGCTGGCCCCGGCGCGGAGCCCGCCCCCGGCCTCGCCGGCAGGCTGGGCCGGGCAGGCAGGAGTTAAGCAGCGTGCGCGCTTCCGACCCGCAGGTGGCGCCGTCCCGCCTCGGTGCCCGACTCCGGGCGCTTCGAAGTGCGGGACAGAATCGCAGCGAGCGCGGAGCCGAAGCTCAGCCCGGACTTGTTGATCTCGCCCAGGCAGCCGCCGCCACCGCCGTCGCCGCGGGAGCGAGAGGAGGAGGAGGTGGAGGAGGCGCCGCGGGATAGCGGTCCTGCCCCCCGCGCTCCCCGCGCCCCCAGCCTCGGACAGCGCGCCCCGGCCCCGCCGCGCCTGCAGCCCGGGCGCGTCGCCTGCCCGGCCGGGGTAGGCCGGGCCCAGCCCGGCCCCGGGACCGCCGCTGCCCGTGGGCGGGGGCGCCCGGGCGGCCGGGACGATGCGCGGTCCCTGGCCCCGGGAGGCGGCCGCCCTGGGGGTGAGTGTTGGGGCGTAAGGCCCGCAGAGGGGGCGCAGGCGGACACGGGCTGGGGGCTCGCCTGCCGCAGCTCGGCCTGTCGGTCTGCCCGGGCTCCGCGGTTTCAGCCGGGGTGGGGGGGAGGCGGGCACGGGCTGGGGCCTGGGAGACGCGCGATCCCCCATCTGGGGCGAGGATGTGAGCCCCGCGTGCCAGGGGGCTCAGGGGGAAACCCCCAAAACCACCAGTGCGCGGCAGGAGGAGGGCACGTTTTGAAAAGGCCAGAAAATTCAGCTCGTTTCCCCGCCTCCCACCTCCCCCACCCCTTCCCTTCCAAGCCCGGGGAAAGGCGCAGAACCCGGAGTTATAAAAAGCCATCGCAGGAGAGGAACGGGGAGGAGCAGGAGGAGGAGGGGGAGGAGGAGGAGGAGAAGGGGGCGGGGAAGGAGCGAGGGGAGGACGGAGCAGGCGGATCCCGAGTTGTCTGCGCGCCCCTCTTGCGGTGGGGTAGGGGGCGCAGAGGGAGGGGCAGGACCCCGGGCACAGCTTGGCTCTTCGCCTTCGCGGCCACCTCCGCGCTGGAGCGACCTCAGCAGCTGCTCCGGTGGCGCGGGGTCGTTCCAGGACAGAGGGGCTGTCGTGAACACCCCGACTGTTGTGACCTCTGACAGGTGGGCACCTGGAACCCCCAGAAACCCCCAAATATTTTAAGATTTAGAAAAAGCAAACCTGCTACCATCTCCCTAACCCCCAAATCCTGATCATCTCGAGCGGGGGAGGAAAAGGTGAGAACTCGTTTTAAAAAAGAAAGGAAGAAAGTTTTTCATGCAGCGCCCCTCTCTCCCGACTGAGGGACTCGATGGGGAGACCCACAGAGAAGAGAGTTTCAGCACTCGAAGGCGCGGACAGCGCCCCGGGCGGTTGGGTCGCGCCTGGGCCGCGCAAGCCGGGGGTGGGGCCTCCGGGACTCCAGGGGCATCTCCTGGGGCCGCCTCCCCGCCCCGAAGGGCGGCCCCTCCCTCCATCCGTGGGGTGGGGCGGACTTCAGCACCGGCTGGAGGGACAGCACCCAGCCGTCCTACTGCACTGAGCCGCTTAAGCGCCGGAAGGTCAAGGCCAGCCGGGACCCTGGTGGAGAGGTGGGGAGGAGCCATGCCCAACTCCTGGCTTGCTGACCCGCGTCCGCTTTCGCTTTCTGCCTCGCAGCCGTCGGGATGGAGGTGAGAAGACGGCCGTGACGCGCGTCCGCGCGGCCCCCTGCACCCCCAGCAGCCCACAGCGCTCCCCGCCCCCCTCCCCCGCAGCAGCGGGCCTTGCCGTGGAGTGACAGCGGCCTGGGGGGGCAGGGGGGGCGGGGGCGGCCGGACCAGCGATGCCGGCGGGCATGACGAAGCATGGCTCCCGCTCCACCAGCTCGCTGCCGCCCGAGCCCATGGAGATCGTGCGCAGCAAGGCGTGCTCCCGGCGCGTCCGCCTCAACGTCGGGGGACTGGCGCACGAGGTGCTCTGGCGCACCCTGGACCGCCTGCCCCGCACGCGGCTGGGCAAGCTCCGCGACTGCAACACGCACGACTCGCTCCTCGAGGTGTGCGACGACTACAGCCTCGACGACAACGAGTACTTCTTCGACCGCCACCCGGGCGCCTTCACCTCCATCCTCAACTTCTACCGCACCGGGAGGCTGCACATGATGGAGGAGATGTGCGCGCTCAGCTTCAGCCAAGAGCTCGACTACTGGGGCATCGACGAGATCTACCTGGAGTCTTGCTGCCAGGCCCGCTACCACCAGAAGAAGGAGCAGATGAACGAGGAGCTCAAGCGGGAGGCCGAGACGCTGCGGGAGCGGGAGGGCGAGGAGTTCGACAACACGTGCTGCGCAGAGAAGAGGAAGAAACTCTGGGACCTGCTGGAGAAACCCAACTCCTCTGTGGCTGCCAAGGTGAGTCTGCGATCCGGGGGCTGCCGGGCTGGGGGGATCTGCCTGTGTGTGTCCCCACAGTGAGGACCACAGCTGGGGGACTCTGGCTTAGTTCCCAAAGATGAAAATCAGTAAGGGGGAGGGGCTAGGGCTGAGCTCCCAGGGCCGAGGACCAGCCCCCTCAGACTTTTCCTGGGTGGCATTTCCGTCTTTGTGTTATCCCGTACTTTGTATGCCTACTTTGTTGAGGACGAGGATTTATAGGGACGTACAAAAGGCCAGGACAAGGGGATGGACACTGAAGAATACGAGAGAGCACAGAGAGACACTAGAGGCTCTCTGGGATGGAGGAGAGTTTGGGTCCCTGGGAAGTCCCAGACCCAGGCCGGAGTGGGTTGCCCTGTGATTTTAATACACGTCTCCATATTTGTAACCCCACTGTGCCCCGGGAAGGGAATGAAAGCAACTTACAGACATGCTTGGAGGATGTCTTGGAGATACTGCCAGGTAGTTTCAACCCAAGTGAGAAAAACAAGGCAGAGGCACTCGAGGGGTGGGTGCGGATGTGCGTGACACAGGCAGTTGGATGGGGGTGCCTGTGGGCCAGAGGTCACCCCTGGTTACTTAGGTATTTATTTGTTCGGTGAGTTTATTTCAAGAATGGTTTGGTGCAGCTTGTAAAGATGCTGTTGGAAGAAGATGTAAATTTCGAAATATGAAAAATGAGGCAATGTGAAAAACAAAGGAGCGGGAGGTGGTGGGAATGCATTTGATCATACGGGGCGGGCTGGGAGTCCTGGGTGCTGCTGGGTGGAGGCCGAGGCTGTGAGGGACTGAAAGGGGCTTGGGCTGGGGCCAGGGCAGGGCAGGAGGTCAGTGGTTGATGAGAACCCTCTCCGTGTCGCCTGGGAGAGACGGGGCCTGGCTTCACGAGACCAGCGTGCTGGGTGTCGGGAGCAAATGACAACGCAGCGTATTCAGGGCTGTGAAAGCGGTCTCGTGAGGCCCAGGGGGAGCCCATGAAAGAGAGTTGTTGATGTCGAGATCCAGCAAGACCAAGTTGGGAAACACGGGTTGGGAGCAGGTAACTCACTCTCTGAGAGCGGGGCCTAAAAAGGGGCCAGGTAAATACCTTTGGGGCAAAAGGAAGTGAGGAGGAGGAAGTCTGCATCTCCATCCATAATTAAATAGCTACGGCTGGCTCCTGTCCAGCTCTGGCGTCTCATTTTGGGGTCTCTGTGGCTCAGTTCTCACTAAAGGCCCACCTGCAGGTCCCAGTTTCAAAGGGACTCTGTGGGGTCCTTTCCCCAGACCTGGCTGCCCAAAGAGAGGCCCCTGAGACTGGCTGCAGAAGGGGTGGCCGGTAGGAGGGTGGAGGGAGCCCCGCATGTTTTCCTCTTCTCTGCCCACCCTAAATAGGACTTAGAGGTTCCTGGGCCCGGCTTCCTCCTCTGGGGCTGTGGGCTGCCTCTCTCCATAATCCTGCCCCCGATTTCGTGTCCAAAAAGCCTCCCTCCTAAGACAGAGTCACTCACCGTTAATCAGCTTAGGATCAACAGACTTATTTTGCTATTTCCAGGCCTGACACAGGTTCTCCCACTCCAAACCCCATTTAGGCCCAAACATGACTCTCCCTTCCTGTCTTGTCCCTAAGACCTGAGAGCAAGGGCAGGAAATGGAAGGGTTTGTCCTCCTGGAGAAGCAGCAGGCAGAGGGCCATGTTTGGGTTGGCATCTGGCCGCCAGGCACAGGCGCTGGGGCATGCAAGAGGCGACGTTTGGGAATGAAGAGCCTTTCCTCTCCCTTGGGTTAATCTGCTTGCTGGGACGAGCCTCATGACCTCTCTGTGATCCCAGGCGGGGGCTGCCGGCTCACATTCCTGGCAGATGGACCATCTAGGATTTTCTGCAGCCAGAGCTGAAATGGGGAGGCAGGCGGGCTCATTGGCCCTAGGTATAGAAATCCTGGCTGCTGCTGATCAAACACCTACTGTGTACAGAGTATAACGAGACAACTCTCTGTTATTATCCCACTTTTCACAAATTCAAGGCTCAGAGAGGTTAACTAATTTGCCTAAGGCCACACAGCAGGAAAGCAGGAGCCAGAAATTCCAACGGAGTGTTCTCTCCACAATGAGCAAATGCTACAGCCTCCTCCCTGGTCCCCCTGCTTCCTCTTTTGCCCTGCAATCCATTCCCACATGGCAGCCACAGTGAGCTTTTCAAAATGCAAATTGGATCACATTATTCATCTGCTTAAAATCCTCCAGAAGTTTCCCATCGCACTCAGAATAAAATCTAGACTTGTCATCCTGGCATATGAGGCCCTATAGAATCTGTTCCCATGACCTCTCTGAGCTCATCTCTGTCACTCTCTTCTGGTTCACTTGGTTCTGGTCCCACTGGCCTCCTGCTGTTCCCTAAACAGGCCAGGATTTATCCTACCTCAGGACCCTTGCACTTGCTGTTCCCGCTGCCTGGAATGGTCTTCCCCAGATTATCCCCTGGCCAGCCCCTTCCCCTCATTCCTCATTTGAGCAGGTCCCTGCTCACATGTCCCCTCCTCAGAGAGACCTTCCTTGACCCTTGTCTAAAACAGCCTCCCTCCCTTTACTCTCTGTCACATCCTGCAGTGTCTTTCCCGCATAGGCCTTAAGCGCCATCTGAAGTGAGTGACATTGCTTCCTCATGTTTCTCTGTTTCAAATCCATAAGAATATGAACATGACGAATTGATTCACTGCTCTGTTCTCAGCACCCATCGTGGTGCCTGGCACAGAGGAGCTTCAAATAACTACATGTGGGATGAATGAATGAATGAATGAATGAAGCAAGCAACCAGTCAGTCACTGTGTCTCAGGGTTTGGGGACCTGTCACTCTTTCTCACTGCCCACCTGCGACCCAGATCCCTGTGCCGCTGACCTCCTTCAGTCGTCACTTTACCCGTCCCATCCCTACCCAGCCCCCAGCTTGGACACGTTGCTTGTGGAAACAGGTGAGGCCTGTGGGAATTTCTCAGCCCACAGAGTGAAAGGACCAAATGGGGGATCATTTCTGGGTGGTTGGGAGGTTCCAAAATGGCCACGTCTCATATGCGAAGAGCAAGGACTGACTGGGTTCTGCCCAGCCCCTCCACCTCCCTGGATTTTGGCTTCCGGCAACTTGTTCACCTTTGCAAGTCCCAGCCTCCCACCTGTAAAATGGAGATAAAAGGCCCGCTTTTCAGGGTCGTCATTAAATCACGTTTGTCAACATTTCACTCCGTGCCTAGCACATAGTAGGTGGGTGGTGGTGTTGTAAACAGTAATGAGCAGAGTCCTTTTTCTAGGGCTAGGGGGGGCTGCGTTGCCGCAAACCCAGTGGCAGCACCCGGGAGGCTGAGCTGACACTGTTAATAATTGATGGGGATGTTCCGGCAACTCGGAGACGAACCAAAGCACAGGCCCTAGGCTTCCCCATCAAGGGAGTGAAAATCAAAATCAGTTAGGCAAAAGGCAGTGTGATTGATTCTTTTTCAGAAGATGGGGTCAGCCCCATCGGGGTAGCAGGGCTGCAGTGCTGGGGTTTCTGCTTTCTCAGAAAGCCCTACAGGCTTTTCTCGGCAAAAGAGAGGGGGAACTGATTTGTCAGGCCAGGAGTGTCTGCATTCCCTGGAATAGTCTCAGGGTTAAAGCCCTGACATAACTTTCTCATTTCCAGAGTGGCTGTTGTTTATTGTGCCAAGCATTAGTGGTACTTTATATCTTCTATCTCATTGAAATCCCTCCAACAGGTAGTGTGCCAGTTAGGAATGCTTTGGGCTGCAATTAGTAGGATAGAAAACTCAAAGCAGCTTCAGTAAGAACAAAGATGCATCATCTCACATAACATGAAGTTCCAAGGCAGTTGGTTTTAGGTTGCATTAGTGGCTCAAGGATGCCATCAGGATTGTAGATTCTTTTCATCTCTCTGCTCTTCCAACCCCTGAAAGTGGCTTGAGCCTCAAGCTTGATGCCTCATATCACAAGATGGCTGCCCAGTTCCAGCCCTCAGATATAGACACAATGATGTCCAACACATGAAAAGGAGCACTTCCTCCTATGCCTCACTTTTTCTTTTTTTCTGAGAGAAAACCCTTTCCCAGGAACAACCTAGCAGACTCCTTTTAAATTCCATTGGCCAGGATCATGTCACATGTTCTAGCTATAGGGGAACCTGAGAAAGCCAGCATCTGGCATTTTCAGATGATGGAGGGAACGGATTTGATGAGTGGGATTCAGACTCTGTCACAGAAGAGGAAATGGAGGCTATGAGAGGTGAAGTCACTTGCCTGAACTCACACAGCTAAATACTCAGTAAATATTTGTCAAAGAAATGAAAATGGCAGAGCCAAGGTTTGAACCCAAATTTGTATGGTTCCCAAGCCTGTGTTCCTAAATCCTGGAATCTTGGGCACATCATTTAGGTTCTCTGAGCATCAGTGAGCTCGTGTGACAAATGGTGAGAACAGCCATGCCTACCTTTCGGGGCTGTTTTGACAATTCAGGGAGATTTCAGATGTGAATGTCATTTGCAAATGGAAAGTACTACACGTGTGAGTTATTATTATTACATTCAAAAGTGGGAGTGGCCTTTATTGAGGGACAGTGGCCAGTATTTTGCCCAACACAGATTTGATGAAGAATCAGCTCTGGAGCCCAACAGATGTGGCTCGTTTCTTGTCTCCATTGCTTATCAGGAATCTGAACTTGGGCAAGTTCCTTTGCTTCTCTGAGTCTCAGTTTCCTCATCTAGGAGATGAGGGCCATTAAGGGCCATTAAGAGGTAATTTATGCAAAGAGCCCAGCCCAGTGCGTGGCTCCTGGGAAGCACTGGGCAAGTGGCAACGGTGGTGACCAGCATTTTCACCGAACGCCTCTATTCCAGCCACATGCCTTTAGTGTAAGGAGGTTGCAGCTTCCTCAGCCTGAGCCATGGAGATTTGTGTGTTATCATCAAGAAAAATGAGAGCATCAACTCGGAATCCACTGGGCCCCTGCCGTG